AGATTTGCTCCAAGGTAACTTCTTACAGCTTCTTTGCAAGGTCAGCCTGGCTGTGCCTTGGTTCTCTTACTCCCACCTTTTAGTGAAGACCGGGGAGAGGAGCACATATTTAATTGTTGATTTTAGTTGACAGACCTTTGTACTAGCAAATCTTCTGGGAACCTAGCTTAAATATAATACAAAAAAAAAAAGAAAAAAAAAAAAGGCAAAGGGCCTCCCCCATGGCACAGTGATTGAGTGCTGTGTTGCGAAGCTGCCTGTAGCCTCTGCAGCGCCAGTTCGATTCCCGGCCACCGGGTAAGGGTCCCACATGGCGCGCAGACCTGTCCTGCCGCCCGCTGCTCCCCTCAGCAGTGTACTTCGTCAGTCTGCCTGTTCTGCTCCCCGCTCTGGCTCTGGTGAATTCTCTCACCCTCCGGCGCTTCTGACTGTACCCAGTGCTTGTATAAATGTATAAATAAATAAATAAATCTTTAAAAAAAAAAAAGCCACACAGGGTTAAGTTTGTAATACCAGAAGATTGGAAACAAACAAAGAGCAATAATGTGGGTGATAGAAAGTCATGGGAATCTGTAAGTGATTAATTTACTCTGTGGCCTAAAATCAGACAAGCGCACACACACACACACACACACACAGAGTCACCAGTCACGCCTAATAACAACATTATCAACATTATCAACAACTAATAACTTCCACCAGCCCAAGTCCTTCTCAATTGTTTTCCATCCAAAACAATTTCTTTCCTTACTTCCAGAAGGAACCATTATCTTGGACTTCATGTTTATAGTTTCCTTATCCCTTTTTGAGTTTTATTCCTTGTGTAAGTGTGCCGAGCCCATCTTTACTTATTTCCCCTTCGTTTCGAAACTTATAGAAAACACGTGGAGGCTAAACGGTGTGGTCAGGCTTTCCCCCACCTTCCCACAGCTGGCCTCTGCAGCCGCCACCGGCTGTCTATGCAAAAAGTGGCGGGGAGAGTGACACGGGGCACACACACCTGTAATTGTGGACACCAAGGCCCAGAGAGCACAGGCGTGTGTTTGTGTAAATGCTCACGCCTGTGCCTGGAGGAGAGCAGTAAAGGCAGCAGTGGCAGCACAGCGAGGACCACTCTGAGGGCGGGATACTGAGAATGGCAGCACGAGGCCAGGGAGAGGACAAAGATCCTCGGTCGCCCTCCGAGCCTCCTGGCGCCCCCTTCGGCCTGCTTGCACGCTTGCCACTACAGCATGTGCTGCTAAATATTTTATTCTGGGGGCTGGTTTGTTTGTTTTTCCCCCTTCCAGGTAGCTTGTTTACAAAAGCACCAAACGTAACTGGGTGGGAAAACACAAGAAAACAGAAACCCAGGCTCCTTGGACTTGCCTGTAGACTTGCCAGTCTCCCTGCAGGCATCTGGAAGGCCATAATGGTCTGAGAGCCTGGGAGGCCATGAGCAGACAGTGTCAGCCCATCCTGCTGCACCCTCTGCTCACAGACAGAGCTGAGTGGATCTAGGTATAGAGGAGGCTGTTGGCCCATGTTGGGTCCCTCTCTTGGTCACTTTTCAGCCAGGGCAGCTGAGGGTCACAAACTGTTACTGAGCACAAAGTGTTTAGGGCTTGGCCTATGTCAGCTGATTGATGAGAACAAGTTGGAGATGGTGGCAAAGAGGTTTATTACTTGAGTTGAGTGAGGAGACAGAGGATGCTCAAAGCACTGTCCTTGCTTTCTAAAGGAAGTTAGGGCTTTTTAGGATTGCTGGTGTTTGGATAGGGTGGGGGTAGGGTGCAATGTCTGGAGTCTCAGCTGTGTAGGCACGTTGTTGCTTCATGACCGATCATACCTCTGCCTGCATCATATGTTCAAAAAATGGTGGCTAAGCACCCCCTTGGGGGGCAGAGGAGGGGGTGGTTAGTATGTAAATGGAGGCTGACGAACCAAAGACAATTTCAGATCCTGGGGGGTCATCTCTGTGCTTGTGGCTCTGTTGCTATAGAGTTTAACCAGTTTGGGCTAGAATGTGCACCTCACCCTTAACTAAACAGCTTAAATAGCTTGAAGGGTTTTCCTGACAATGCAATAGCTGCTGTCAGTCCTTTGTCTCCTGGGTAACAGAACTTTACCTCCACTTTGACCTGCTCTAGGGTGGGTTGGGTGGGGAGCTCCTTGGCAGCCAACTGGCCCCAGTTAGTTTGATCCTTTTCCCCTTGGGTGTGCACAAGGTAACACCCTCCTGGGGGCAGGGTCAGGCACAGCTGGTATCCCTCGCAACCCAGGTGATTTTTCTGAAATAAGGGTCTTGTTGACATCGGTGGTCAACATAACTGGCTGCTGGAGGGTCTCTGCAATGAGGCAGCTGCTCTCCATTACTCGTCCTGGTCTTGACCCTGCACTGGCAATGCTAGAAGTCCATGGTGAAGGGGAGGGCTTCAGGCCTTTACCTGACAGGTTGAGAAACCTGCGCAGGGACCAGGATGTCATCACCTTTTCAGCTGCCACCCAGACTAGGTTCTCAGAGTTGCATTTTTTATTCAACATTATTTCAGAGTGACACAGTGACTATACTTATGTTTGTAAGGATTATCATATTCATAAACCATTGTAGTGGCTGTATTTCATTTACTTTCACAATTGTATAATATTTCATTGTATTAATATATTTATTATTTTATTGTTGATAACAAGATTCATTTCCAGGATTTTTGTTATGGCAAATGGTGTAGTTGTAAATATTTTTGTGCTCATCTCCTGGTAGACATGTAGGGACATTTGTCTAAGTAGGTTCTTAGGCATGTCAGTGTTGGGTCAGCAGTTATATGCATGTTCAATTTTATTAGCTGACACCAAGCTGATTTTCAATAGGTCGTACCAATATAGACTCTCTCCTTTGAGAGTTTCTTACCTGGATGAGAGTTGTTTTCTCTCGAATAAACCGATTAGAAAAAGGCACAACAATAAAGAAAGAAAAGATACTTGAATGGGCTAATGAGCAGAGTACCCAGGAAAGTAGGAAGGACGGGAAGGAAGCAATGGATTATCAAGGCACGTATACAGGAAACATTCTCCTTCTTTACCTGGCAGGTGGATATTCTTTAAAAATATAGTTACGGCCCACATTTTTTGTTGTTTTTAAGTTTTGTAAGTAGCCACAAGATTATCCTGATATCTCATTGTACTGCCCCCTTAGTGCGCCTGTGGGTGTGTAGTCTGAATCCAGAGAGACAGAGGACAAAGGTTTAATCAGCTGGTTTACTGTGCTGTGGGGTGATGAACGTGCTTTCTTTCCTGGCTCACCCACCCATCCCTCGGTCATTTTACACTACAGTTTCTGTTCCTAGCAACACTCAGCTTCTTGGTATTAATTTCTATTGCTCAGAACTTTTAGCAGTTACAAAACACCGCTCAAACTAGCTTAGGCAGAATAGTAATTTATGGTTGTAACCCAGCTGTGGAGAGGGTGTGGGAAGAGCTGCCTGGGGGTAAAAGGGAATGGAGGGCAGGCTGGCGGCTTTCAGATTCTCTCCATTTATTAGATTCATTTTTCTCAAACAGTTGACTTCCTCCCACACTGGAACATGAGCATCTGGCGTCTTCAGGCTTGTATATACCATTCTTACCAAGAGGAGGGATTTCCTGTTTCTCCTTTGTGTCCACTCAAATAAAAGCTTTCAGTAGACAGAATCTGTCTGCCTATTTGTCCTTCTGTCTCTCTCATGCACACATATACCCACGGGGGTGGGGGGCAGGCTTTCATGCTTAGCAGTTCTCATTAGACCTGTAAGTTAATGGTCCAAAGACAAAAGTGTTCTTCAGAAGCAGCAAGGTGCTACCTAAAGAGGAGGTAGGCACCACCTTGTAGGTGTCCACCTCGTAGAGGATTTCTGTTTTCTCCTTTTACTTCTCTGGGTGTTTGCTCTCTGCTTACTGTGACTTTGTGAGTGTCACCTCTTCTGCAAGTAGAATTCACACCTTTCCCCTGTTCCTCTCCTTAAAAAAAAAAAAATTATTTATTTATGCATACAGGCCAGAGGTGGTGGTGGTGGTGAGAGAATTCACCAGAGACAGAAATGGGGAGTAGAACAGGTGGACCTACTGAAATACACTGCTGAGGGGAGCAGTGGGGAAACAGGAGAGGTCCGCTGTGCCATGTGGGTCACCTCCCTGGCTGGGGATTGAACTCATGCTGCAGTAGTTGTGGATTGCTTCATAGTGCTGACGCTTAACCCCTTGTGCCACCAGAGAGGCCCTCCCTGTTCCTTTCTTAATACATCTCAAAGATCACATCTGTGATGTGCAAAATACAATGATTAGCCATTAAAATTTCTTTTTTTTAAAGATTTATTTATTTATACAAGAACTGGGGTACAGGCCAGATGCACGGGAGGGTGAGAGGATTCACCAGAGACAGAGTGGGGAACAGAACAGGCAGATTGATGAAATACACTGCTGAGGGGAGCAGCGGGTGAGACAGGAGAGGTCTCCTTCACCATGCGGGATTCTCACTGGCCAGCCAGGATTGAACCCGCGCTGCAGAGGCTGCAGACAGCTTCACAGTGCGGTGCTCAACCTCCTGCGCCACCAGGGGGTCCTGCCATTAAAATTTAAAGGCAAATTTGCTTTAAAATTTTCTTGGCCAGATTGATGCATGGAGGTATAATATATTAGCCCAGGCTTGAGTAGAGCCAGTGGGAACACGGAGTAATGGGGTAGCCCCTTGGTTTTGAAATCAGAACATGACCTACCACTCGCTTAAGTAGCCTGGGTGACTCCTTTCTCTGGCCTTTGTAGTCTCTGTAACTATGACGAGTTTAGTCTTGATATTCCACAAGGCCAGTCAGCACTGTTTCCCCGTGAGAAAGTGGGGCAGCTCTTGGGATTCTCAGAGGTGATGTAATTTCTGTCATTTCTTTTGTGAATGATCATTGGGGAAAGCCCCAAGGTCCCTCCCAGGTTGGGAGTGGCTGTTTCCTGGTAGAGCTAAGGAAATGTTGCTCTTGTCCCTTGTAAAACCACAGACCCGCCTCCTGGTGCCAGGCCAAGCTGGGCTGTATAAAACTGGGATAGACTGCAGCTCTTCACAAAACAACTTCTTGACAACATGAGGTCCAGTAGCTTCTTGGTCCTGGCGGTCTTCCTCATCCTTGGGATGCTGGCTGTACAGGCCGTCATGGCTGGTGAGTGGACAAGTGGCTTGGTTAGGGCTGGGCTGGGTTGAGGAGATGCTGGTGGGACACCTGGGTGCTGACAGGGAGGCAGCAGGCAGCAATGGCACCCACACGGCAGACTGTGCCAGAAGCTCCCACCTGCTTCAGAGAATGTAGGAGGTTGTACGGCGGCTCCACCGGCTTTGTACCAGGACTGAGGTATCAGAACTGTAGCCTCAGGTGTGAATATGTGTGTGGAATATGAAATGAAGTGAGGAGCCCCAGGAATCTGGACCCTGGGGTTGGGTCTGTCTACCCCATAAAAGTCTCTGGGTCATCAGTGCTCAGAGAGGAGGTGAGGAACCAACAGGGCATCTCGATCTTCGTGACCCCCATTTCACTAAGGAGACTGAGATCCAGAGAGCAGGGAGGGATTGGTGGGACAATCACCTGAACACAGGTCTCTGGGCAATGGCTCAGGGCTCTGTTCCCATCGCTAAGTTTCCTCAGAGATAAAAATGTATTTTTCTCACCTTCGGGAATCATCCAGCCTTCCCCACGTCAGTCATGGTTTCCCTCACTTAAAGGCACCCCTTGATAGTTGAAGCAGGGAAACTGCATCTAAAGGTGGGTACTTTTCTTCTTTTATCAGGCAAAGATCATGTTCCAGTAAGAGGACAAGGTCCATTCAGGGGTCAAGATCCAGTCAAAGGTCAAGATCCATTCAGAGGTCAAGATCCATTCAGAGGTCAAGGTCCAGTCAAAGGTCAAGATCCAGTCAAAGGTCAAGATTCTGGCTCCGTGAAGCCTGGCTCCTGCCCCACAGTCATGATCCGCTGCGCCATGTACAACCCCCCTGCCAAATGCCACAGTGACACTGAGTGCCCTGGCGCCAAGAAGTGCTGCGAGGGCTCCTGTGGGATGGAATGTTTGGATCCACAGTAAGGTGAGAATGGGACAGGGAAGAGATGGCCCTGAGCAGTGGGGAATGATCCCGGCTTGGCAGGAGAGAGGGTGGGAGGTGCTGGAGAGGCTTACCTGGGTCTTGAGAGTGACGCATGCACCCAGTGCTTCCACCTGCTCAGTCACGGCTCTGGTTCTCTTCCCTCCCACCAGGTAGACTTGTCCTTACAGCACCTGTGAAGTCTCCGGGGCCTCAGACCCTGCTTCCTGTGTCATTGCCTCTCCCACATTGCCTGTTCTTCCTTCCCAGCATGCCCAACCCCTGGCTGCCTCTCTAGTCCACTTTCCAATAAAAACCATGTTGCGCTTCACTTGTTTGTGACTCTATGACTTGGGATTCTGGAAGCTCCAGGAGAGTGTGTGGAGCTGGACTGTCTCTGCAGTGGAGAGGGGTTGGGATCCATGGGAACTGATTCTGGTGTGTGAAGGAAGCAGGGGCAGAAACAAGGACCCCCTTCCTAGGACCTAATATTAGACTCCAGTGATCAACCCACCCGGAAATGGGTCTAGAAGTTTGCATTCACCCTGGATGGAGTGTGATGGTGGAAGGGGGAGATATTACAGAAATTGCAGGCAGTTTCTTTCCTTTCTAATTGACCCCCAGTGCTGACCTGGCTGTTGTCAATCTCACCAGCGTGACCCACCAAGCCTTGTGACCAAACCTATAGCTCCCTCCTCCCTTTCCTTGAATGTTTCCCATGCGTTTCTATACTGCCAGAAGACACAGAGAGACAACTGCAGGAAATCACTACCCATGAAGAATTTCACCTGTTCTTGACTGCGGTGCCTCCATTAACAAACCCACCAGGTTAAGTTATATATTTTCTGCCGAATTTCTATTTTAAGATGTGAGTGAGGAGGTAAGACACACTCCAATCCTTTATCCTTTAGTGTGAGTGGAGAGTACGAATAGTGTTCTTGGAGACATACAAGTCGGAGGCAGGGAGACTCCGGGAGTGAAGACAGCAGAGGACATGTTCCTGGCTACCACCATTCTACTCTGTTTAATTTTTTTTTTAAGATTTATTTATTTATACAAGAACCGGGGCACAGGCCAGATGTGCAGGAGGGTGAGAGGACCCACCAGAGACAGAGTGGGGAACAGAACAGGCAGACTGACTGAAAAACACTGCTGAGGGGAGCAGCGGGTGAGACAGGAGAGGTCTGCCCTGCCATGTGGGCTGCTCCACGGCCAATGGGGATCGACCCACACTGCAGAGGTTGCGGACAGCTTCACAGTGCAGTGCTTAACCGCCTGCACCACCAGGGAGGCCCATCTACTCTGTTTCCATGAGTCTGATGTTTTCCGATTCCACCAATGAGATTGTGTCATATTTATCTTGCCCTGTCTGACTGATTTCATTGAGCAGATTGCCTCCAAGGTCTTTCCATGTCTTCAAAAGGGGCTGGATCTCTTTATGTGGCTGAATAATATATTTAATTGCGTATAAGAACTACACTCCCCCTTGGGATTGAGGTCATATGCCTTATGATGCTGTATGGGCTTCAGCACAGATGTTTTTGTTTTGGGGGTTTTGATTTAAAATTTGGGGGTTTTGCCCCAACGACTGGGAGAAAATTTTTGCACACAACACTAATGATAAAGGACTGATCACAAAAATCTACAGAGAACTGATGAGACTCAACAAAAACAAAGAAAATAATCCAGTCAAAAAATGGGCAGAAGAGCTAAAAAGAAACTTCTCCAAAGAGGAAATGCAAATGGCCAACAGGCATATGAAAAAATGTTCAACATCACTTGTCATCAGGGAAATGCAAATCAAAACTACCATGAGATACCATCTTACACCAGTGAGAATGGCACATTAAAAAAATTAGCAACAACAAATGTTGGCGAGGGTGTGGAGAAAAAGGAACTCTCCTGCACTGTTGGTGGGAGTGCAAACTGGTCCAACCACTATGGAGAGCTGTGTGGAGATTCCTCAACCTGCTAAAGATGGAGCTTCCATATGATCCAGCAATTCCACTCCTAGGTATTTACCCAAACAACACAGAAACATTAATTCCAAAGGGCACCTGCACCCCTATGTTTATAGCAGCACTGTTTACAATAGCTAAGCTTTGGAAACAGCCCAAATGCCCAAAAATAGATGACTGGATCAAGAAGATGCGGTACATATATACCATGGAATATTACTCAGCATTCAAAAAAGATAAACACATGCAGTTTGCAGCCACATGGATGGAGCTAGAAGGGATCATGTCAGCGAAATAAGTCAGAAAAAAAACGAAAAATACCGGATGGTCTCACTCATAGCAGGAATCTAGAAAACTTAAATAAAAAAAAGACTAATTAATACAAAGTAAACATCAAAATCAACAAGCAACTATAAACCAGAGACACACAACGGGGGGGTGGGGGGAGAGAGGAAGGATTAGGGTCCAAATAAGGGGGGGTGCAATTGTATGGGGAATACAACCAAAATGAAAATGCATACACTTGTGCAAAAATGAAAAATGATGTAAGAATTATATAAAATAAAATATTAAAAAAATAAAATTTGGGGGTTTTGATTTAAAGTTCATACCTATCTTCAAATACTTGTTTAGTACACTTAATTCTGTTTGGAGTATAGACTTTTTCAGGGCCAATTTTCTGAGTTGATTTTGGGGAGACTTCTTCATAAATATGTGTGAAATATTGCTTGATTATCTCCTGCAATGGTTCTCCATAGGTTTTGCTTCCCTTTCTTTTTTATACATTGAGATTTCTTGAACATTTGTATAGCGCCATTCTTAATTTAACAAGTTTAGTTGTTTTGGCATTACTGGAGGATGAGGGTGCTGTGACATTGATGCTCTTTTTTGACATGTAAGATATTTTTAATTTTGGGAGGTGATTATTCCAACTTTCAAGTCACTACCTGAAAAATAGTGTCTTTGCAGTAATATTTGGGGTAATATTTGCAGTAAGATTCACTGTGTGTAACACCATTGCTTTTGCATTTTACTGGTTTTGATTTTTTTCACAGGTTACATTCTCTGTTCAAGTAATGTGGATTTACTTGGTATTAGAGTTGTGGTGTATGGCACACCACCTGGGAAGGAGGTTTTGAGACATTTCTCATGCCCCTCTGTCACTCTCTTCACCTACCACATATTCACTGGCAGGCATTACTGCAGCGCCTTGGGAAATTCTTAATGCACTCAAAAGAGATCGAAAAGGAAAAAATGAGGACAGTAGAAAAGTGTGTGTAATGTCTCAACAAACTGGAAGAGAAGCGAGCAGCTCTTTCCTATGCTGCATATGGCTTCCCTTGCAGTTGCTCTGAATGGCTTGATGCCACAGACGCTGTCCTCCAGGCACAAACCTGGTTTCGGTGACCATAGAGGTCTCAGTTTTCCTCACTTCCCGAGAAATGGCAGATGTGTTACTAAGGCAATAGCTTGTCTGAGGAATATGTGCGGGGGCGTCTGCCAACACAGCAGAATGACTGCCCCACACCGTGGGGCCGAAGAAACTGCCTCACACCGTGGGGCCGAAGAACGCCCTGTGCCTCACACCATGGGGCTGAAGATTCCTGGCGCCTCACACTGTGGGGCTGAAGATCTTGTCATAACCTGCATACATTCTCTACCTTTTGTTCTTGGCCACAGGAGCAAATAACCTATTTGTGTAGTTTAAGTTCTGGTTAAACATTGATTTGGGCTAAGGCACACTGGAGGAGACTAGGTGGGTGAGCATGCTCAACAAAAGACGCTGAGATTTTGTTTTAAGCTCCTGGCCCTTATACCTTTAAGGAGTTTAGTTGAAACTTGATGATTTAAGAGAATGAGAGTCTGGCCAACAGGAGACACTACTGATTGATAACACTGCTGACTCCATGCTGCTGACCCCCAACTGGAGGCTATAAAGATATAGCTAGTCTTTGATGTCACAAGTTAGCGAAAGGATGCGCACTGATGATTATCCTGTTTTAAATGATTGACTAACCTAGTAATGAAATTAAGTATAATTCCTTTATCTATTAACCCTAAAGGGCACCTTTTCCTTAGAATACACGTAGGCACCAGATGTCCATGGGAAAGGAATGTACTGATTGTCCCTGCTTTGCTTCAATGCATATACTGATGTTGTCTTATGCATGCCTTAATGTATAAACAAAGACCCCCTGAGACCCTCAGCAGGAGATACTTGGACAAGCACTTGTGTGTGTGTCTGCGTCACTTTCTCTGATTGCACTGATGCCATACCATCCTTCAGGAACCCCTGACACCCAGTCTGCTGCAGTTGGCACGTGGCAAATACGGGGGCAGGGCAAGAAATTAGGGACCCAGTTTTCATAAAGAGTGGCACCCACCAGGTTTTACTTTGCTGCCCCTGTAAACCTCAGGGTGATACTGGCACCCATTTAATAAAACAATACCTGCAGGGGATAAGGGACAACTTAAAGACTAGGGGTAAATGTAGCTTCCTCGCTTTCGAATTTTTCCAGGTTGTACAGACACTTGGTAGAAACACGTTTCCCAATCTCACTCAGCAAGGTGGGCCCATCCAGCTGTGGCCCCTGTCCAAGATCAGTGTCATTCTACCATTAGTGGAACTGCCAGCTTTATCAAACAACTGCGAATGACAATCTCTCTGACACCAATTGATGTGTGATCATTTGCCTCCTGGAAATTGGAATCTGCTCAGAATTTCTAATCTTTTATTGTTTCAAATCAAGGTATTAATTACAGAAGTCATGGACTCACAGCATGATGAAGTAGTGGAGCTGGCAGGCACCAGCCCCATGTCCACCTTCTGACTTGGTCAGCTTTGCCCACCTGGGAGGCGTGTACTTGGGCAGGGAAGCAAGTGTTTCCATTCCATTCAGATTTCCAGACTTGCATTTTTTACGTGACCCAGGATTTCTTGGGCTCCCTTCTGAATTCGGGAAGCACCATATATTATGCTATCACTCAGACCTAACTGCTACTCCTAATTACGCGAAGACTCCAGCATTCGGGAGCCTCAGTAACACCATCCATAAAATAGGTGAAACTCCAAAGCATGGAGCTTTATTCATTTTTATGGGCATCTCTAACAACAGAGTACCTCCAGGAAGCTATCAGAAGTAGCACATTTGTAGCTTTCTTGGTACTCTATAAAAATGCCACTTGAGTTACAGTGGCTTGGTGGGGATGACGGATATGAGCGTTCAGTCACTGTGGAGCACCATATTCCTCCACCTACCTCACTGGCTGGATCCAGTGTTCACTAACCCTGCTCACTTCTCTGAGCTTGAGAGTCCTTGTTCTTCTCTGAAGATTTATGGCCGTCCGTGAGGCAGAACAATAGAGCCGTCACTGCTAACGTTAAGAGAAATGCGAAGCTGTTCTGATGCCCCACCTAGAGCAGGAATAGGAGGCTCCCTTCCAGTTGGCCATCTGTACCACCCCCTAGGTTGAGCAGGTACAGTTCTGGGAGGCAAAAGCATGACCCAGTGTTTATCAGCTTCTGGTTGACCACTCTTATTGATCAATAGCCTACCATCTTGTTGAGAACACACTGTGCACTTTGAGATCATCTTGAACTAACTGCTCACATTAAACATGAAAACCTGAGGTCCTAACACACAATGTGCCTCAGCAAAGTTGGGCTTCAAACCAAATACAGAGCCTCTTCCTTGATAAGGTCATGTTGGCGTCACTTGGTCAGGACCATGAAGTGTGGTCCAGAGGGTGAGTCCCCATTCCTGAGCACGTAATGGACAATAGAAAAGCACAGTAAGTCTGAAAGATGGTGCAGATGGGCCAAGATGACCTTCTACAGATCTGCCCTGTCTTAGCACCCACTCATTCTTCCATATCAATTCCCTCAGCTTCTACTTTGATCTCAGAACAGTGCCTATGATAAACTTCCAGTCTCTTTCACTGTGGGAGGGACTCATGGAGTCCTCAGAGATAATCTCTCCAGCTCATCCATTTTTGCTGTTTATAAATGGAGGCCCAGAACAAAAACATAGTTTTCTTGGTGAGTCAAAGATGTTATCTGAAAGGTAAACAAAATGATTTTTGCTCTTCTGTTTTTTTCCTTTCTTCTATGGGAAGAAGGTTTCCTTTAGCCTGTGGGAAGCAGGTTTATAACATTTAACTGGGTTGGGGGTGGGCTGCAAGGGAGAAGGGGTGTCAAGGAGGACTCCTGGGTTTTGGCATGACCCCCCAAGCCCCCGTGTCCTCAAGAGCGGCTAGGTCATGCAGTGGTAACCACAGCCTCAACATCTCAGATCAACAGAATAGTTTTTGGTCCTGCAATGCCAGTTATAGGTCCGAGTGACCCTCAGGACTGATGTCCTTCAAACTTAGTGATCCAGAGTGCCACATTTTCTATACTGGTCCAGATGAAGGGGAACCGCTAAGTAAATAAACCTTCCAGCTCCCTGCTAGAGGGTCTTAGGCCCGGGGCAGTTAATAATCCAATGCAGTTGTAATCAGCAAGTTTGCTCACTAAACAAATCTTTCCTTAGCAGACTAACAAAGTTAGAAGGTCAGGCAGCTGGCCAAGTTGGTCTATCATTTCAAGGCCATCCCGGGATATCTGTGTTCTTGCTTTTTCCCAGCCCCTTGTTTAGGAACTTTGCAGCAAATGATGTTATCAATGTAAGGATAATTATGTATAAAAGAACTTCTTTGTTTGTAAACAGGTGCTCAGACCTTATGGGGCTATGCAGGTCTGGGACCTCATGCAGGAATAAAGCTTTTCCTGACCTCACCATTCCCGAAGTATTACTTGTTCTTCCTCTGCCTGGGTAAAAAGTAGAATTTATTTCTACACCACCACCAGTTACTGGCTTGAGTGAGGAGAGAAAGTGACTTTCAGCTTCCTCACTTCCATTCATAGTCATTGGCCACAATGTGTCTCATATATATATATATATATATATATATATATATATATATTTATTTATTTATTTATACACGCACTGGGTACAGTCAGAAGCACAGGAGGGTGAGAGGATTCACCAGAGCCAGAGCGGGGAACAGAACAGGCAGACAGACGAAATACACTGCTGAGGGGAGCAGCGGGCATGGCAGGAGAGGTCTGCGCGCCATGTGGGACCCTTGCTGGCAGCGCGCTGCAGAGGCTGCGAGCAGCTTCGCAGCCCAGCGCTCAACCCCTGCGCCACAGGGGAGGCCCAATGTGTCATGTATTTGAGTGGGGCCTTTTATTTCACAGGGCTGGAAGTATAACCCTCTAGTGCTCAGAAGAAGAGGAGAGACAGCAAAGCTGGTATAACAGTCTATAAAAGTCTATCACAAACCCGTTTATACATATGGGGAACTCTGAAGGGAAACCTACTTTGGAGGAAATTGTTCACTTTCAGATAGGCTAAATTTGAGGCGCTTGTGAAGTAGCTATGTCAAGTGGACATTAAATATTTGAGGAGGAATGGAGGAGAGAGAGGGAAAGACAAGGAGGGAATGAGTAATAGAGGGCAGGAACCAAGAAGTCAGAGATGAAGATTTGGGTTTGGGACCTACATCTGAAGTTACCTGTGGGATTTTACGAGATTGACTAGAAACTGTGTTTAGAGAAAGACTAAGACTCAGAAATGAACCCTGTGTTAGCTGGTTAGGCTAAGCTCCATGGGTCCAGAGTGGGTCAACGTGAGAGATTTCATAGCTCCACCACCTGGGCAAAAGCTTGATCTTTTTTGTTTGATATCATATTCCCAACATCTAGAAGAATACCTGGCAGGAGAGGGGACCTGGTAATACCCAGCATGTAACATCGTTGTTATGTTACATGCTCTATATTACATATATGTGGGTTTTTATTTTTTGCTTAGCTTTGGTAATGTACAATAAAATGAACCATTTTTCATTGCATGTTGACCAATGTAGACAATGAAGTGATGGTCACCGCCATCAAACTGCAGATCATTTTCATCACTTCAAAAGTTCCATTGTGCCTCCTGCAATCAAATTCTCCTCCCCCACCCCACCCCCATGCACTACCACTGGCTCCTGGTCCCCACTGATTATAATTCTATCAATATCATTTTGATTTTTCTAGCATTTCATATAAGTAGAATCACACGGTGTGTGGTCTTTTAGGTCTCATGCATTTAACAGAGTGACTGGCAAACCCATTCTGTCTAGATTCAGATGTTTTAGGTCTGACACAGCCCACAGTGTCTCCCAGCTGTGTGTGTAGATGCAGAGCACTCAGCCCAGGACCTTGCATGTGGAAAGTGCTGACGACGCGCAGGAGGTTGGAACTAAAGGGCCAACTGACTCCCCCGCACCGCCCCCTCTCCTTCCCACCCTTTTACAAAAAGCCTCAAGGAGGGAGTTCCTTGGTCAGTGGCACAACTGAGCCTTGCACTCTTTCCTTTCTACTTCCTAGAGCCCAGGAGAAAACCCGACCCCACCTCTGACCTGGTCCAGAAAGCAGAGAGCTAGGTCTGGAGGAGGAGGGTCGCCCAGGAGACAGAGGAGGATGGTGCTGCGCTGGGCTCGCTGCCTACACTGGCGGGCCCAGCCTGAGTGCAGGAGACGGGCAGGTGTGCTCTGCTCTGCAAATGCTGTTCTAAGGGTCACGTTCCGTGATCTGTTTTAGTAGAATCGCAGCTCAACAATAGAATCCACTCCACTTAACTGCATGGAAGGGCGAATTTATTTAACTACAGAGTGTTGGAAGCCACAGACAGGAGGCCGAGCACCACCCCTCAGGGCAGGATCCCTGACCTTCAGGCCAAAGGTCAGAAAGTCCACCACTGCCACCCCCCAAGCAGCCAGGGAGGGTGGGGTGAGGACGAGGGTCAGGACTGGTCCTGGCCTCAAGCCTCGAGCTCTCGAGTCAGTCCAGGGGAGACAGACGTGCTCGTGTGTCCGGCATCCTCATTCCACAAGCATCTGCCAGCGTCTCCTCTGGCCAGCAGCCGTGCTCAGCGCAGGAGGTACAGTGTGAAGCAAACCAAGGCACTTGACTCTTGCTCTGGGGGAGCTGAGAGTCTGCCAGGATGGACAGAGCAGAGACAAGCAGGACCTGGGGGGAAGCGGCAGGCAGGCTGCTGCTGAGGGCAGGGCCGGGAGGGGAGCAGGAGGCCGAAGTTTCAGAGGCAGCTACAGAGGGTCTTGGGTGGGACCATCAGCCCTCAGCGTCTTGGGGCAGCCCAGAAGCCACGACCTGCAAGGAGAAAAGGAAATGTTGCTTGTCACCACCAAGGCCCTGACCTGGACACTGCTCTGAGCTCCCAGACCGTCCAGGACCCTCTCACAGGCCAGGACGACAGGAGGGAGGGAGGGAGTCCAGCCTGCGTGGCAGACTCGGAGCGCGCAGACGTGCTCTTAGGACGGCTGCCTCCGTGGGCGCCTCTGCAGAAGGGCAGCTGAGAGGCTAGAGCTCATTGCCACAAACACCTTGGCACGGCTTTCTGCCAGGTTGGCCTGGGGGTGTCTGCTGGAGTGTGGCTTGTGGGAGGTGCTGTGCATTTTCCCTAGAAGGCAGGTGTGAAGGTGGGAAGCCCCTGAGCTCCACCTACCTCCAGGGCCCTTACCCTCCCTGTCTGCTCCCACCTGGTTACTCCTCGGATGCCAGATCCTCAAAGGATTCTTGCTCTTCCTCGAATTCTAGTGCTTTGGGTGCTGGTTCTTCTCCCTCAGGTGCTCGTTCTTCTTTCGCAGTTGCCAGCTCTTCTGCCACAGGTGGTAGCTCTCCTTCCGCTGGTTCTGCGTCTTCTCCCGTGACTTCTCGTTTCACTGGGCCTACTAGTTTTTTCCCCATACAGGTGCTCTTACACTCCTCCTCTGTCAGGAAGTGATTCAGCTTACGTCTGCACCCCCCGTACACAAATTTTTCACAGAAACCTGAGTTGATGTTAAAGAACCACCTGGTGAAACTGGCCTTGCAGGGACCCGTGTAAGAAGACTCCAGGCAGAAGGCAGGAAGCACTGCAGGGAAGCAGAGGATGGGCAGTTAGGAGGATGCTGTCCCTTCCCCCTCCCTCTCCCCCTCCCCTCTCTGCCTTCCTCTCCTTTCTCTCCCCCTCCCTTCCCCTCCCCCCTCTCCCCCTAAATTCTTTAGAGCTTAGGGGAGAGGTAACATTTCTCCCCTGCTGTGTCTTCCTTGCCTTCAGGTCATAATAACCTGCATATCAAAGGGGCCTATTTGGGCACAGCCTATTCTGAATCTCCCAAGTATAATCAGGAACTGTCAAAAGGAGGAGATACTTAGAGTTGGTGTTAAGGGTGGGGACATAGAGATTCCACACCTATCTGGTCAAACCACTGTCACAAAACCTCAACATAGCCACAAAAATGGACTCTTTCTGAATTCCCCCTGTACAGAGTTTTTTTCTCGAGGCTTTGTTACAAAGGCATGTGGGATTAAACCAGGGCTGCTGGTGACTGAACTTAATCTCCACTCTCTGCCTCCTTCCTGAGGTGGGAATTTGAGTTTTAATTCTCTGATCACCTGATGCTATCCTGAAGCTATCCAAAGCCACTAGCTTCAGAGATCACGTATTGTGCAAAAAAGCAATAAATTCCAAGAGTTTTGGGAGGCCAGGTTCAGGACCTGAGCAAAGATAGAGTATCTGTTCATTACATCACAATGAAGTCCAGGGGAGAGGTCAGGACTGGGAATCAAGTCTCAGAATTGGGATCCAGGAAAGGTAGAACATTCTGGTAACTGTTAGAGACATTAACTTTGTGAAGCTGAAAACACAATAATTTATATTTTAGGTCATAAAAAACCCCAGGACCTAAAATTTCAACTTCCCAGGAGAAATTCATAGAGAGATATTTGGCATCCCCATACTCCCATGCCTGCTCTCCAGATAGCCCCATTTACTGCCCTGACCTGTAAAGGAGGAGCAAGCACTTACTATCATCAGGGTTGCTGGTTGCATCACACTGGGTGGTAGTCAGCATTGCGGTCAGGAGGACGAGAAGTGCTGTGGACATTTTGAAGGGACTCATCTTCAGGGTCTGGAGGACTGCTCCTGAGGAGACCTGGGGAGGGAGAGCTTTTCAAGAGCCCAGCTGGGGGTTGGAACACAGGCCATGAGGAGGGCCTGAGGAAGGGGCGGAGCTGAGGTCCCTCCTTGGCATTGCTTTATGTCTCACCTCCCTCTGTATCTGCTCAGGGGCCAAAAGGCCCAACAATAGAATTTTCAAGCAGTTTTTTCCTGCAGTTACTGGGGACCTTGCTGAAATGTAGATTCTGTGTTGAAGGATCTGGGGTGAGGACTGAGGATCTCTATTTCTAATGGGCTCACTCTTAGAATTGCTTCCCCAGCCCAGACATTTTATTTCTAATCTGACTATTCAGTATATTGGGTCTTTTAAAAATTAGAATGATAACTTACATAAAACAACCAAGTTGGGGGCCTCCCTGATGTTGCAGGAGGTTAAGCGCTGCACTGTGAAGCTGTTCGCAGCCTCTGCAGCACGAGAGCTGCAGAGCTGCAGCCAGCCTCTGGCTGGCCGGCGAGAATCCCACATGGCGCAGCAGACCTCTCCTGTCGCGCCTGCTGCTCCCCTCAGCAGTGTATTTCTGTCGTCTGCCTGTTCTGCTCCCTGCTCTGTCTCTGGTGAATCCTCTCATCCTCCTGCGCATCTGGCCTATACCCCGGTCTTGTATAAATAAATAAAAATCTTAAAAACAAACAAACAAACAACCAAGTCACATTCTAAAAGTAAATAATGATGCTATGGATACAGTGCTGGGTGTGCTGTCCTGGGTGTGGCGACACCAGTTGGGGGAGTCTGGATGGAATAGGAGAATGACATGGAGGAAGCTGTGTGGGGCCCAACGGCCGGGTTGCCAGTCCTGATTTCACAGACAGGGAAACTGAGTTACCAAAATCACTTAACCAATCCAAGGTCACACAGTCTGCAGTAGCTGAGGCTGGAACTGGTGTTCCAGATGTTGTTGCAGACTGTCACTCCGATGTTGCTCAAGTACTGACTTAGCCCTCTTTCCACCTCCAAGGCCAGTGGTAAGGAGTCCAGTTCCTCTGGAGCCACGGCCCTTCCCATCTTCAGGGAATGATAAGCAGGTTACTCCCCCAACACCTCTTCTTGGGCTTCAGGTGTAGGATCAACTCCTAGCTCCTGCACAGAGTAGGCAGCTCTGGCACCTAGAACCACTGCCACTCCCTTGCCTGTGCCTGGTGAGTATGGCCTGCTCTGAAAAGGCTTCAGCTAGGTCCAACAGGCCCCTTGATCACATCTCCCTCAAGAGGAAACTGGGGACTAGATGTGCATCGGGGCGCATTTGGGGACACCACCTAGTCTGGAAAAAGTCTTGGCCAAATCCCCAGATGCCAATAGGATTTAATGAAATCTTCAGCAAAGTTTTGTTTTTATTACAAGAGCAATTGTTCTCTAAAAGATACTCTGGAAAAGTATGCAGTTCAAGGTTGGGTCTCCTGTCACAAATACCAAGACCTTGAACTTCTGAACTCCATCCTAAGGATCAAGATCCCCTGTGCTGACAGGAGGTGACATAGATCACATAAAATCCCAGTGGGAAGAGTGTGCTGAGTATCCACACTTAAGAGCAGAGTGAGGATGCAAAATTGAATATACCTCAGATCTCTGGCTTTATTCAGACTCAAAGTGCTTATGATAAAGAAATGATTATTTATTTATTTATTTATTCAATTATAATTTATTTATTTAAGAAACATTAGCTTTTTTTTTTTTTCACCAGAAGTCCAGCCACATGTACAGAAGCAAGGAAATAAATGCAGATCAGATCTCATTATTTCTTAGTTTCCCATCCTATATAGAACAAACCTAGAATCCTTGTCTAGGAAGACTTGTTTTCCTGTCTCTGCCAACTTTCCAAACATTCCAGTAAGTTCCCATCATCCTGCCTGGTGGCAAGACTTTAGACGATATAGCACCAGAAAGCCAATACCCTAAAACCTTCATTTCTGCCTCAAGACCTTCATAGCAACTGGGAAGGGAAGCCATTTTGTTAATTCACAGAAATAAAGCCTGATCACTAAACATAATGAAGACGCAGAGGAATTCACTCAATGGATCAAGACAAAGCCTATTGTTTGGAGGTGGAGATCCCAGGACTGATTAATGACCTGAGTGGGGGTAGATTCTATTCATCTGTCCATTCAGTGATAATTCACTAATGATTCATTCAGTGCTTGCTGGTCCAGGCTCACTCTGTGTTAAGACGTTATAATGGATGATGGCTGCCCTGCTCATGGTCCTCAGGAAGAGACAGGAGCACACACACCTCGCACGCAGGGGGTAGAGCTGTGATCCAGTAACCTCAGAGAAGAGGAAGTTCATTTCTGGGAGATAAAACTGAATGGCAAGTTAGGACTAATGTAGGTGGACACACAGCAGGTGTTTAGATCTTGTCACATATCTTGAATTGATCTGATCTGCTGATGAAATCTTTAGGTGCAGCTGTGTATGAACATTTTACTTTAAAGCAAAAATTGCTAGGAGTCATATTTTGAAAACTCTGTAAACTCAGATCATAGAAACTATTTCCAGCACTTGTCAAAGTTTATCCTCCCTAATCGTCCGGAGCTACACTCTGGGTAACAATTAAGAATGTGAAAGAGTGTGGCAATTAGGGGAAAACATGCCTTTGCATAAATATAGAACTTATCATTTAATAAATAGTCATTTTTATTTTTTATGAGCATTTCAAGTCTGAATGATGCCTGGGTTGTCGTTTGTATTTACCTTTGTATCCCCCTTAGTTTCTGTACTCAGCTTGTTCTTGCTGTGATTCCACACCATCTGCTCCCCTCCGGTTCACTAAAGGGATATCAGGATGTGTGAAAAACGTTGGGGTGTCTGATCAATCCTCTTGGTTGAGAGAAGTACCTTGTTTGTCATTATGTGGTAAAGAAAACAACTAGGGCAGGGGTGGAGACCCAGAGGAAATGGGTCTTACAACTCTCCTTGGAGGCAGGAGGTGGGCTAATGACGTGAGACTTCTGCAACATCGAGAATGTCAGATCTGCCTCATCTACTGCAGATGTGCCCTGCCCTGGCACGTGGTCCCTACTTATCCAGTTTCCTTGTCCGTGAAATCAGGACTGGACAACCTGGTCCTCAGGCCCCACACAGCGTCCTCCATGTCATTCTCCTGTTCATCCAGAACAGTCTGTTCCATCTAGACTCCCCCAGCTGGTCTCCACACCCCAGGACAGCACGCCTAGCACTGTGTCCACGGCATCATAATTTGCTTTTAGAATGTGACTTGGTTGTTCTAAGTAAGTTATCATTCTAATTTTAAGATCAAAAAACTCGATAGTCAAATAAAATGTCAGGGCTGGTGAAGCAGTTGTAATGGCGAGCCCATTAGAAATGCAGCATCTCAGCCCTCACCCTAGATGCTCTAATACAGAATGTATATTTCACAAGGTCCCCAGGATATTGCAGGAATAAGACAGTTTGAAAATTTTGTTGCTGGACCGTATGGCCCCCGGTGTAGTGACACAGAAGGTCCTAGAGGTAGGAGATGAAGCAATGCCCAGGAGGAACCTCAGCTCCACCCCTTCCTCAGGCCCTCCTCACGGCCTCTGCTCCCACCACAGCTGGGTTCTTGAAAAGCTGTTCCTCCCCAGGTTTCCTCAGGCGCCATCCTCCAGACCCTGAAGATGAGTCCCTTCAAACTGTCCACAGTGCTTCTCGTCCTCCTGACTGCACTGCTGACCACCACCCAGTGCGATGAAACCAGCACCCCAGGCCTTGGTAAGTGCTGGCTCCCCTACCCTCTGCAGCTGGGGCTGAAAATGAGGGGAGTCTGGTCAGTTGGCTACAGATAAGGGGCTCCTGAGACACTCTACCCACAGCAGGATTGATTGATATGCAAGAGGGGATCACAGAGCTCAGAGAAATGTGGTTTGTTCATTACTGGTCAATTATAAAGTGATATAACTCAGAACAGCTCACTGGAAGAGATGCCCAGAGAACTGATAGGGGAAATGAGGAGCTGCCAGATCCTCTGCAGGAGCTAGGAATCACCAAATTTTCATTCCCCAACCTGGAAGCTCTTCATATCCTGCCCTTTTGGGTCTTTCTGGAGGCTTCACTGCATAAGTACAGCTGATTAACTCACTGGCCAGGCCCCTGAGCTTCCTGCTGTCTCCTCCAGGGGCAGAGACTGATGTCCAAACCCTCTAACCACAGCATTGGTTCATCCAGCTTGGACAGTTACCACCAGAGAGTGATCTTTACCTGTGTCCTCTATTGCTTCTCCATTTTTTTTTTTTTAATTAACTTCAGTCCAGGGTTATGCTAGTCAATCCATTAATAATAACTATTGTTTATTATCACTGTGTCATTGTCACACCTAACAAAATGAATGATAATGCACAATGATGCCCCAGAAAACTTCCCATTAAATGAGCCCACTACATGTCCCCTTTAAAGCCACAGCCTGTTTTCCCGGCATGCTGCTTGTAATTTGATCAGCGTGCATGCCAGGCTGGCACAGCATCTTCCTAACTGACCATCCTCTGCTTTCCTGCAGCCCCTCCTGCCTTCTGCCTGGAGCCTCCCTACACGGGGCCCTGCAAGGCGCGGCGGATCCGGTGGTTCTTTAACGCCAGCTCAGGTTTCTGTGAACAATTTGTGTACGGGGGGTGCAGACGTAAGATGAATAACTTCCTGTCAGAGGAGGAGTGTAAGAGCACCTGTATTGAGAAAAAACTAGAAAGCCCAGTGAAACGAGAAGTCACGGGAGAAGACGCAGAACCAGCGGAAGGAGAGCTACCACCTGTGGCAGAAGAGCTGGCAACTGCGAAAGAAGAACGAGCACCTGAGGGAGAGGAACCAGCACCCAAAGCACTAGAACTCGAGGAAGAACAAGAATCCTTTGAGGAAGCGGCACCCTACGAGTAACCAGGTGGGCGCAGACAGGGAGGAGAAGGGCCCTGGAGGTAGGTGGAGCTCAGGGGCTTCCCACCTTCACACCTGCCATGTCCTCCTTGCTGCCTTCTAGGGAAAATGC